CCCCAAAAAAAAAAGACAAAAACCAGGCAAATAGCAGAGCATGGACCCCCCCTTGTTTTCCCAGTGTCTATTATTGCCTCATTCAATAAATTGTTACAAATGTGTCTACCCAGGTGTCCAACTCTCCTGTTTGGGGGGATTTTTGGGAATATTTGCCTTCCTGGAGGGAGTTTTGGGGTTTGGTCCCTCCCCTCTCCCGTGTTGGGGCCGCAGAGGAGGAGCTGAGCATCACCAGGATGGGTTTGGTGTTGTTTTTTTGGGGTTTTTTTTGGGTTTTTTTGGTGCAATTTATCTCATTTTCATCTTCCAGCATCAACTTTGGGAGTGCTGGAGCATCCCCCCCGCTCCCACCCAGGGGCTGAGCTCCTTTTGGGGTGAATTCCCCCATTTCCACCCCCATGGCTGATGGGGTTTTTTTGGGGGGGGGGAGTGCAAACCCAAGGAGGAGGCAGGAGACGCAGGGATGGTTTTCAGCATTTTTATTGGAACGAGGCTGGATCCAGGGAATCCTGCAGGAATGGCAGGAAAAGAGAAAGAGGAGAGGAGAGATGGGGCTGCTCCCGGGCATCCCTCGGCCACAGAGGGGTGACCCGGGGCTTTGGGGACCTCTGGGGACACCCCATGGCAGGGCTGGGGTCCCCAAAGGGGCCCCGGCTCCGGCAGCAGGGCCGGGGGAGGCTCAGCCCGGCAGACGCTGCTGGGGGGGTTTTTAATTTAATCTGCCTTAATCGGCCTTTAATAAACGGGTCGGGACCTCCTGCTGGGGCGGCTCCTGCAGCCCCCGAGCACCAACAGCTCCCATTTCAAACTGGGAGAGACTGGAGGGGCTGGGACCAGCAATTCCCATTTCANCTGGGACCAGCAATTCCCATTTCAAACTGGGAGAGACTGGAAGGGCTGGGGCCTGCACCAGCAATTCCCATTTTGTACTGGGAATGACTGGAGGGGCTGGAGGCTGCACCAGTAACTCCCATTCCATACTGGGACAGACTGGAGGGGCTGGGCCCATTCCCTCCCCCAGCCTGGGCACTACAGGGGCTCCCCCAGACATTTGGGGGGGTCTTCGTGTGGATTTTCTGCCTCTCCCCCCCATCCCAGCACTGCTGCGGCCTGGACTGGAAGATGTGGCCCCAAATTGCAGGATTTGACCCCAAAAATGCAGCAAAAATGGACGGTGAGGATGAGGCCGGCTGGGAAGGGCCAGGACGGAGGGGAGGGACCCTGGGGTGCTGATCCCAAGGGATGCTGATCCCAAGGGGTGCTGATCCCAAGGGATGCTGATCCCAAGGGATGCTGATCCCAAGGGATGCTGATCCAAGGGATGCTGATCCAAGGGATGCTGATCCAAGGGGCACCGGTGGGACTTTGGGGCGGAGCTTTTGGGGGGTGGAGCTGTGTGTGGGTGTGGTCGGTGGGGGTGGGGCTCTGGATGCTCCGCCCCTGACCCCTCCCCCACAGGGCAGAGTGGGGGGTGGGGTTAAATCCAGCGCTGGGGGAGGGAGGGATGGATGGACAGAGTGGGAGATGGACGGACAGACGGACAGGTGGATGGAGAGCCAGAGGAAAGGCTGGTGGAGGGATGGAGGAATGGATGGACAGACAGACAGACGGATGGATGGATGATGGATGGATGGATGGACGGATGGACAGACAAACGGATGGATGGATGGGTGATGGACAGACAGACGGATGGATGGATGATGGATGGATGGGTGATGGACAGACAGACGGATGGATGGATGGATGATGGATGGAAAGGCAGCAGTGTGCATGTCTGACAGACAGACAGACGTGGCCGCAGGGAGGGACAGACATTGGGTGTTTGTTACCTGGACGAGCAGACGGATGAACGGCCAGACAGACACACGGACACCTGCGCCCCCACAGCCCCCACCTGCCCCAGGAGGGCCATGGGGACCCCTCATCCGTCCGTCTGTCCGTCCCTCCCTGCCCCCAGGCGCGGGGAGGATGATTGGAGCGTGCAGCCTAATCCAGCGTGATCCAATCTCCGCGGGCTTATGCCGAAAGCTCCGTAATCACCCAGCGCTGCCCTACATATCCCGGGCACATCCCGGCACATCCCGGTACATCCCGGGCACATCCCGGCACATCCCGGGCACATCCCGGTACATCCCGGCCCATCCCGGGCACATCCCGGCACATCCCGGCCCATCCCGGGCACATCCCGGGCACATCCCGGCACATCCCGGCCCATCCCGGGCACATCCCGGGCACATCCCGGCACATCCCGGGCACATCCCGGCACATCCCGGTACATCCCGGGCACATCCCGGTACATCCCGGCCCATCCCGGGCACATCCCGGCCCATCCCGGGCACATCCCGGGCACATCCCGGCACATCCCGGTACATCCCGGCCCATCCCGGGCACATCCCGGGCACGTCCCGGGCACATCCCGGGCACATCCCGGCACATCCCGGGCACATCCCGGCACATCCCGGCACATCCCGGGCGCGTCCCGGGCACGTCCCGAGCACGTCCCGGGCACATCCCGGTACATCCCGGTACATCCCGGGCACATCCCGGGCACATCCCGGGCACATCCCGGGCACCCCGAGCCCAGGGACAGGCACAGCCCCTCACCCCAGCACAGCCCGGAGCTCCCTGTCCCCTAAAACTGGCACCATCCCTGTCCCCTAAAACTGGCACCATCCCTGTCCCCTAAAACTGGCACCATCCCTGCTCCTGCTCCTGGGGACACGCAGGGGACACGGGGCAGCTGCTTCATCCCTGCCCTCAGCTTCCTCCCTGCACGGGGCTGGTGTGGGGCTGGATCCTGGAGCAGGGGATGGATTTGGGAATGAGGGCTGGATTTGGGAGCAGGGTTGGATCAGGGACTGGGGAGGGGTCGGTGCCCCAATCCCACCCCCCAGGGCCCTGCCCGGACCGCGGGGCCGGATCAGCCCTCGACACCCGGAGCCACACGGGGACACTCGGCCGTGCTGCTCCAAGGACCAGAATCCCACCCATCCCGGTTTCCCCCGCCATGGGGGACACCAGACCCCCCCATTCCCCCACACCACGAGCGCAGGACACCCAAAATCCACACCAGATGGAGCAGGACCCTCCCCACACCCCACGGGGCCCTCCCAGCCCAGCAGCAGAGCCCTGGGGGGGGTTGAGGGGTGCCAGGGGGACACCGAGGGGACACCGAGGGGACACCGAGGGGACACCGGGGATTCGTGTCCGCGGCGGTGCCCCGGAGCCGTAGTTGGCAAGTCTAGAACCACCGGATCCTGCTACCGCACCAGTGTGAGTTCTACCATTGCCAAAGGCAGCCCCGGGGCCGGGCACCAGCCTGGGGACAACGAGGGACACGGAGCCGGGCCTGGAAAGCTGCAAAAAAAACCAGGAGAAGTGATGAAATTATGATTTCAGCCATCAGGGCCAGAAAACCTCGCCCGGGACAAGAAGTGCGGGGTCCATCCTGCTGGTGACGGCCACCATGAGGACACGGCCTGGCCGAGGTGTCCCCATGGGCTGGGACCTCAATGTCACCCCACATCACATCCCCCGATCCCGACCCCCGACAATCCCCCCAACAAAAACCCGCGATGCTCTCTCCGCCCTCTCCCATATTGGCACTACACATAATTGCTCAAAAGTTACAAATCAAAGCAAAAATGTGCTAGTGCCAAAACGGGCCGGGCGGCGGCGGCGGCGGCCCCGCGGGGCTCGCGGGTCTTTCTCTGCTCTGTTTATGGCCCTATGGTAATTCACTGACCGCGGGGTTGCACAGTGAATTCTACCAGTGCCATACACAGAACAGGAGTAGCGAGCTCGCACCTCTCCCTTGTTTTGTTTTTTTTTTCCCCCCTTGGATTTCCACCCAAATCCTCCGGGAGCAGCAGCCCAACGTCCCCCGGCCTCGGAATGGCGACAGGGAAAATGGGGATGGATTATTATGGGTTGAAAAAAAAACTGATTTGGGAATGGGGAGTGAGGGGAGATGCTCACCCCGGTGCTGCCTCTCCTGCAGGGTGGGGAGGATCCGGTCCCCAGCTCGCCTGGTGGATTTTTTTTTGGGATGGGGAGGCTGGAAGCCATTTCCCAGCCACTGCCTTTGCAGGGTTACCCAGGAATCCCAGCTCCAGATCCACCACCCATAAGCCCCCCCCAAAATTATTCCAGACCCCCAAAATGTTGCAACCTCCCCCAGATGGCCTCAGGCCCCACAAAACTGTCCCAAATCTCAAAACGTTGCAAAACCTCTAGATGCCACATCCCCAGAATGCTGCAATCCCTCCAATTAATTCCAATTTATCCAGCTGCAGTCCCCCTGAAATGTTTCAATCCCCCAAAAGGTTGCAACCCCCCCGGATGACTGAAAGCCTCCCAAAATTTGCAACCCCTCTGGATGGTTGCAAGCCCCCAGAAGGTTAAAACCCCCCCCCCGGATGGTCACAGACACCCCCAAAATTTGTAACCTCCCCTGGATGATTTGGAAGCATCCAGACAACTTGAATCCCCTCCAAAAATAAGACTGCAATCCCCCTGAAAGGTTACAACCCCCCTGAGTGACAGAACCCCCCAAAATATTTGAGAAGACTCTTGATGGCTTCAGACCCCCCAAAACTGCAACACCCCAAAAGGATGCAGACCTCCTGGATGGCTGCAAACCCCAAAATGCTGAACCACCCTCCCAGACGGCTGCGAACCCCCCAAAACTCACACACCCCCCCAAAACCCACAAACCCCCCAAAACTCACAAACCCCCCAAACCCACAATCCCCCTTCGTTGCTGAAGATCCTCCAGAAGAACGAGCCCACCCAAGAGGATGCAGATCCCCTCCAGTGGTTGAGACCCCCGGATGGCCGCAGACCCCCCCAAAAAACCTGAAACCCCCTCGGATGGCTGCGGACCCCCGGCTGGCAGTGCCCCCGTCCCCAGCGGCCGCGGCGGAGGAGGAGGAGGAGGAGGAGGAGGAGGAGGAGGAAGGCACAAAGTCTCCTTTGTGTGGGCGAGGCCGAGGCCCCAACGAGCCGAGCGGGGCCGGGATGAGCTCGGGGTGCCCCGGATCCGACTCCCCTCGAGGTTCCAGCCCCCAGTCCCTCACACTGGAATTTGGGGATGAAGATGAGAGCGGGGGCTCGGCCATCCCCGGGCTTCGGGGAGCGTCGCTCATGGAGGGGCCAGCAGGGACAGCTCTGTCCCCAACCTCACCCACAGCCTGCACCCACCTTTGGGGCTCCAACAGCAACGCCCCGCGGGGAAACACCCCAAAAATCCCGGAGAAGCCCCAAAAGCTCTAAATGAAGAGAAGCCCCCCGTCCTCACCTGGGGGACCCCGCCCTGTCGCCGCAGTGACTTGGGGACAGCGCTCCCGGGGGAACGAGGGCGAGGCCGAGCCCGTCGCCATCCTTGGCGTGACTTTGAAGGCGACGGCTTCGCCTTAATCCGCGCCCTCGTGTCCCCGGCCCCGCGCCAGGCGGGACCCGGCCGCTGCCCCGAGCCCCAGCCCGGGGCCGGTGACAGCCTTGGGGTGCCCCCTTTGTCCCCGTGCCCCGCTCCGCCCAAGGCCACTGCGGCAGCCCAGGCCCGGGGCTGAGCCAGCCCCTCTGCGGACTCGCCGCACCCGGCTCATGACGTTGGGCGCTGCCGCATTGCGGATGTTGCCCCCCCGGGGCCCCCCCGGCCCCGCTCCCGCAGCCCCTCCGAGGGTTCTGCAGCAAGACCCGAGACCTCCAGCATGGGGACATCGGGGTCCTCTGGCCCCCGGGACGCGTTTTGGGGGTCAAAACGCCATCCCCCAAAGCCAAAAGGCCGCCGGAGGCACCTGCGGATGCTCGTGGAGCGCCCAAGATGGGGCTCGGGCACAGCCCCCGGCCAGGGACGGGGACGTGGTGGCTCCTGGATGTGGCCACTGCCCGTGTGTCCCCTGCCATGGGGGGCACGGGGGGTGGGCACCCGGCCGCCCTCCACACCCTGACACGTGCGGCTGCAGGTGCCCACCATGGGAACCGCCAGGTGGGGATGGGGACGAGAAGGGAAAGGGATGGGAATGGCGACAAGGACGAGAAGGGAAAGGGATGGGAATGGGGACAGAGGCAGGGATGGGAATGGGGACTCGGATGGAGATGGGGAATTGGGAATGAGGATGGGGAGTTTGACGAGAAGAAGGAGAAGGAGAAAGAAGGAGAAGGAGAAGGAGAAGGAGAAGGAGAAGGAGAAGGAGAAGGAGAAGGAGAAGGAGAAGGAGGAGAAGTGACGGGCATGGGGATGGGGACAGGGACAGAGACGGGGACGGATAAAGAAGGGGACGGAAACGGAAGAGAGAGATCGAGACAGAAATTTGGTCAGGGACAGAGACGAGGATGAAGATGTGGCTTGGGATGGGGACAGGGATGGAGACAGAGACGAGGACGAGGACGGGGACAGTGACGGAGCTGCCGTGCGCAGCCAGGAGCCCATTTCGGGGTTAAACCGGGCAGATTTGTGCCGCAGTGCCCGACACACCGGCCGTGCCCGGGGGACGCCTCCTCACCCCACAGCAGCCCCCAGCCCGGGGCAGGACCCCACCCCGCCACCCCCGACTGAGGTTTGGTGTCCCCAAGCAGAGCTGGGGACCCGTCTGAGCCCCCGAGGGTCCCTGCACGCTCCGCAGCGCCGGGCGGGGCAGGGGTTGCGCACCCCGAGGGTTTTGGGGCTCGGGCAGACCCCAAAGCAGCCCCCCCAACCCTCACCGGGACCCCCCCAGCCGGGCTTTCGTTGCCGGCGCTATTCGGTGACAGCGGAGCTGCCATCGGGGCTGCAGAGCGGCCACGGATCGGACCCGGGGGGCGAGGGGGGCACCCCTGGAACCCCGAACAGCCCCCCCAGGGCCGGGGGGCAGCCGCGGCTGCGGGCGCTGGGGCTGCACCGCGATTTCGTTGTCACTCGCATCGCCCCGCCGGGATGCGACACCGCCCCGACGGCAGAGGTTTGGGGGACCCCGGGCAGGATGGGGGGCGCCGGGAGGGGGGTGAGGCACGGGGGGGGCTCGGCCCGAAGGGGTTTGGGGGACCCTCACGTCGAGGGAAAGCGGGGAGAGCGGGGAGAGAGCACAGCCCCGGGGTCGGGTCGTGCCGGGAGCGGGCGCGGGGGGAAGGGAGCGAATCAAGGGGGGGGTCCCCGAGCCCTGGGGGGGTCCCAGCAGGACCCGACCCCCCCCTGCTCCCCCCGGGGGGCCGAGGGCCGCACTTACCTCTGCTCCGGGCGCTGCCTCGGCTCCGGGCGGCCACACCGGGGCCCGACGGAGGGGTCACCGTGGGGCTGGGGGGGGGGACGGACGGACACGGGACCCCCCCCCCGGTACCCCGCATCCCCCGGGGGGGGTCCCCGGCGCCGCCCGCAGCCCCGGCGCTCGCCCAAGTGGCGAGGAGCGGCGGCGGCGGCGGCCTTAGCCCGGCCGGGGGACCCCCCCTGCGGCTCCCAATTGGCCCAGGTGCCCCGGAAGGTGGAGCCGGAGCCGGGCCCGGGGCGGGGAGGGCGGGGGTGGGTGGGGGGGGACGGGCTCACCTTGGGCCACCCCCCCTCTCCCACGCAGCCCACCCCCGGGGCCGCCCCGCCGGGGCCAGCGGTGCCCCC